AATTTATGTATTTTCTTTTTTTTTGCCTAATCCATTAATTTTTGAGAGAGGGATATTAAGTTTCCCATCATGATTGTGGATTTGTCCATTTCTCATCATAAAAGAGTTTTTTGGCTTTGTAATGTAATGCTATTATACTTTCCTCTTGGATTGTTCCCTATTTTTTTCCTTAATGCATCTTGCTTTGAAGCTTGATGGCTTAATATTAATATTGCCACTCTTACTTTTTGTTACTTTCTCTCTAATTAGATTTTTAAGTATATTTTCATTTTTAACTTTCTATGTATTTTTCAATTTTATATATAGTAGTAATAAGCATAGACCTGAATCTAACTTTTCATTTTAACTTTCTTTTTTTGTTTGTTTAAATAAGGAAGTTTTAGCCCATTCATATTTATATTTGGCCTTATTTCTTACAGTTTATTTTATGTTTTGTATTTGCCATGCTTTTTTAGTTTCGTTCCCTCTCACTGCACATATCTCACTGCACATCCCTCTCACTCATATTTCTAATCATTTACTGAAATAATCACATTTTCTCAGCGACTTTAAAAAAAAATTATTTTGGAAGTTCTGTTTGGTTTTACTTCTAATTTCCAATGTTTCTCTAAGTGGATTTGGGGATCAATTGTATCACAATCACCTTGGTTGGTTTTTTTTCTTAAGATTTTATTTATTTGAGAGAGTACACGTGCACAAAAATGAGTGGTGAGGGGTGGGGAGGTGGGTGCAAAGCAGAGGGAGAGGCACAAGCAGACTCCATGCTGAGTGCAAAGCCTGATGGAGGCCTCAATCCCACCACCTGGAGATCATGACTTTAGCCTAAATCAGGAGTCAAATGCCTAACTAACTGAGCACCAGATGCCCATGGGTAGTTTTTAAAGAACTGTGGCGAAATACATGTAATATTTACCATTTTAATCATGTGGGGGTTTTTTGTTTGTTTTTTCTTTTGTTTTGTTTTGTTTTTGAGAGAGCGAGAATGCACTGAAGTGGGGTGTAGAGGGGCAGAGGCAAGGACAGAGAAAATCTTAAGCAGGCTTCATGCCAGTGTGAGCAAGCCTGACACAGGGCTCAATCTCAAAAGCCTCAGATCATGACCTGAGCCAAAATGAAGAGTCAGATGTTTAACCAACTGAGCCGCCCATGCTCTCCCCATTTTAACCATTTTTAAACATACAGTTTAGGGGGATTAAGAAAATCCACATTGTTTTGCAACATTACCATCATCCATGTCCACAACTTTATCATCCCAGACAAAAACTTTGTACCCATTACACAGTAACTCCCCATTTCCTCCTTTCCCCAGCCACTTATAAACACCATTCTATTTTCTGTCTCTATGAATTTGACTATACCAGATATAATCATGTAAGTGGAAATATACCATATTTGTCTTTATATATCTGGCTTATTTCAATTAGCATAATGTCTTAAAGTTTCATCCATGTTGTAGCATGTTTAACAGAATTTCATTTTTTTTTTTTTGTTTTTTAGAAGCTACATGAGATGGTGGGTATTAATTAAACTAACTGTGGTACTCATCGTATAATACACGTAAGTCAAGCCATTATGGTATAGCTTAAATTTATAGAGTGCTGTATGTCAACTGTAACTCTATAATATAAACAAAGAATTTCATTCCTTTTTAAGGCTGAATATTTCATTTTATGTACAGAATACATTTTGTTTATCCATTCATCTATCAGTGAACATTTGGGTTACTTCTACCTTTTGGCTACAGTGAATAATACTGCTATAAACATGGTTGTACAAACATCTTTTTGGGTTTTTGCTTTCAATTCAAAATGTGGAAATTCTATATTTAATCTTTAAAAAATCACCCTATTGTTTCCATAGCAGCTGCATCATTTTATATTTCCAGCAGCAATGCACGGGGTTCTAATTTTTTCATATCCTCACCAAGACTTGTTTTCTATTTTTTTTTTTTTAAGATTCTACACATTTATTTGAAGAGGAGAGAGAGAGAGAGAGAGGGTGCACAAGCAAGGGGAGCAGCAGGCAGAGGAAGAGGGAGAAGCAGATTCTCCACTGAGCAAGGAGCCTAATGTGGAGCTTGATCCCAGGACCCCAGGATCATGACCTGAGATGAAGGCAGATGCTTAACCTACTGAGCCACCTGGGTGCCCTGATCTGTTTTTGGTAATAGTTATCCTAATGGTCATGAGATTGAGCCCTGCCTAGGCTCTGGGCTGGGCATGGAGCCTGCTTAAGATTCTCCCCCTCCCTAGCCGCTCCCCAAACCTGCTCACACACACAAGCTCTCTTTAAAAAAAAAAAAAAAAAAAAAAAATTATCCTAATGGGTTGAACTAATATCTCATTGTAGTTTTGATTTGCTTTTCCCTAATGATTGGTAATATTGAGCACCTTTTCATGTTCTTATTGGCCATTTGTATATCTTTTACGGAGAAATGTCTATTCAAGTCCTTTTCCTATTTTTAAATTGGGTTTTTATTTTCTGGTTCTTGTTACCGAATTTTAGAAGTTCTTTATATATTCTAAATGTTAAGTCCTTATCATGTATAATTTGCAAGTGCTTTCTCCTGTGGGTTGTTTTTTACTCTGTTGCTATTGTCCTTTGATGTACAAGCTGAGGAATTTCTTAAAGTGGAAACTGTAGATTCCCACACTAGACCTACAGAATTCGAATACCAGAAGGATGGAGCTTGAACATCTGTGTTTAAAAATTGAACCAAGTGATTATTATGCCCAACTCTCCTAGTTGTTGCCCTTAAATTTTTTGCTAAAATTTAAAAACAATTTTTGGCATAAATCTGAAAACTAAGATATTCTAATTCTTTTTTGATGAAATATAAATTCTAACACAATTATCCCCACCTCCAGTGTTTTATTGAAATTTTATGGAATTTTAGTTTTTGATTCTTATTTATTTATTTATTTATTTATTTATTTTTTACTTGAGAGAGAGAGGGAGCACAAGCCAGGAGAGGGGCAGAGGGAGAGAGAATCTCAAGCAGATTCCCTGCTGAGCAGAGCCTGATGAAGGGCTCGACTCAGGACCCTGAGATCATTACCTGAGCCAAAGTCAGACATTAAACTGACTGAACCACCCAGGCACCCCTCTTATTAATTTTCTCATACCATCCTTTCATATTTTTGAGAATTCTTTCTTTAAAACTGCATTAAGCCTCTCAACTAAACCATCAACATTTAGACTTAAATATAAATTTCTTTGTTCCTAGATGTCGAGAGTTGCTTTATTTTCCTTCACACACTGATATTTTAGCTACTGATTACAAAGTCAAAATTATTTTCTTGCAGATATCATCATATGAATTTTGTCACTTTGACAACTTCAGTTGTGTTCCAGAATTCCATAATGCAGATGAAAAGTCTGTTCTTCAAACTGTTCTGCTGAAATGAATGTGATTTTATTTCTTTATTGGTAACCTGTTCTTTTCTTTTTGTCTTTGTTTTATAAATAATTTTCTCTCCCTCTTTCACACTGGCATCATTTAGCCCCCTTCTTTATCTCTGGAATTTAGAAATATCACCACTATGTGTATTTTTTTCTCTCCTGCCCTGTCATTGTGTTCTAAAATAATCATTCCTTTTATTTTCCATATCAATCTCCACTTTCAGTCCTCTCCACTTTATTACTTAGACCTTGAACTGAATTATTTGGCCATAGTTGTAATTTCTAAGAATTTATTTTTTTTAAAGATTTTATTTATTTATTTACTTGAGAGAGAGCTAGAGAGAAAGAGAGAGAGAGAGAGAGCAGGGGGAGGGGCAAAGGGAGAGGGAAGAGCAGACTCCCCACCGAGCAGAGAGCCTGATGTGGGGATCATGACCTGAGCTGAAGGCAGATGCTTAATGGACTGAACCATCCAGGTGCCCCTAATATCTAAGAATTTCTATTTTTCTCTTCTATGCACTTCTTTACATGGTGTCCCATTCTTATTTTATTTCCTTCAGGGTCTGTTTCTCATCTTGGCCTTTTTCTTTCATACTGCTGGTTTTATTAAACTATTTTTATTAAACTATTTTATAATTCTTTTTTTTAAAAGATTTTATTTATTTGAAAGAGAGAGTATGAGCAAGAGAGAGAGGAGGAGAAGCAGACTCACCTGCTGAACAGGGAGCCTGACATGGGGCTCGATTCTAGGACCCTGGGATCATGAGCCGAAGGTAGTCACCTAACCAACTGAGCCACCCAGGCACCCCCATCTCATAATTCTTAATTTTTCATTCATAATTACAAATGAGGAACTGGATGGACTGCATAGGAAAGCTGGTCTGGATTTCCAAATGGCTACACAGGTCTATTTAATAATTCCCCCTTTTTCTGTTCCACAGAGATCTGAGATTACTTTAGGTTCAGCTCTGCTTTATGAACTGGTCCTAATGTTCACTGCAAAAACCTTCTGTCAGTCTAATTCCCCACTTATTTATAAAATTTATGAAATAAATCTTTCACCTTTGATCAAGGGGCATCTGTTGTAGGCCAAGCCCTCTTTATATGTGGAGGGTAGGAGAGGAAATGCTTTTAGGATTAGCACATTAATTAATTTCCCACAACAATTCCATCTGGTCTCTTTCTACATCCTATAGTTGCTGACCCCAAGCTTGAAATTTCTCTGTGCTCTCCTACCGACTTCGGACTGTGGCTCTTCTCTGTTGGTTTCTTGATCATACAGATTCTGTTTACCTTCTGTCTTCTAGGAGTTTCTCAAAACTTCTGATCTACTAGTAGTGACCTTCCCTCTCTTCCTGCAGTATTATGGGTTTGTTCCTTCTTAAACCAATCCTGTCATAATAATGGAATCTTGGGATGGACAGAAAATCAACTGCTATTATCAGGCTGCCATTTGGATTCAGATTCGGAGTTATCTTAAACACAATTTTTTTTTCATAAGGTTTTCTCTGTCTTGTAATCATAGGAGCAATCTAAAAGAGTCAAAAAGGAGTAATTTTAGGTTAAAAAGTACTTGTTAAATTTTGTCAGTATTATACCTGTCAATTGCCTGAAGATCATTGGCTGGATTCCAAGTAGGATCAAATAATACAACAACATTGGCACCAACAAAATTGAGGCCTAGTCCACCAGCCCTAGAGGAACCAGAAAAGGGCATATTAAAATAGCAAAAACATGATTGTTGCCCTCTAATTCAATTGTGCCAGGTTTCTGTAACAAAATCAATACAATACTGCATTAGCATCATAAAAATAAGAAGATTACAACACAAACACGCCAAAACCGAAATAGCTATGGAATATCATTTTTCTACCATTCTAGAATATCCCTTTAAAAAAATTGACCATTAAAGCCCACGTAAGTAGGTTGTGCTGGTTTTTGTCATTTTTTGGCTATTCAAATACTATGCTATACGATTTTCCTAACATGCATTCTAAAAATTCTAAGTATAGTCCAGCTAAATAAATCAATATACACATTTTTAAAAGTCAATACAGGAGTAGATACACTTCTTATTCTTCCTTCTAAGTGTAGCTAAAAATCCCTGGACATCATATATAAAATAAACATAAGACTCAGAAAAGTAGAGAGAACAAAGACACGCTAGTGAGTATATGAACTAAGGAATGATACAGCAATGAGTTCTCCAGCTGTCTTTTTGCCTAAAAATCCTAGACCGGGTTCTGAAGAAACCAGTATACTGGAAATGCCAACAGTTGAGACAAAAAAGCCCCAAGAAAAGCCTTCTTCCTTTAGCCAAAGAATCAGGAAAGGTATAGCTTTTTAAGACCGCAAAATGTTAGATAATAACCAGCCTATTGTAAACACCATGGGAAAAAAAATCTATGGTCCCACTCCCAAACTGGTCAGTAAAGGCTGAGTGAGGAGATTAGATCTCCACCCTTGCCTTAATGGGGTGCCTCTCATCCACACCCAGAGGGTGTCAGAGAAAACAGACTGAGGAGCTGGGGACGTTCATTTACACTCAGCTATAACCAAATCCCCTCTGTGATGTCAGTGGAGGCTGTACCGAACATTAATGACGTGCCTCACTCTTAGGATGTCAACAGAAGCCAAGCAAGAAACATGGATTCCCATCCCTATGCGGCTGGCATGGCGTCTGCCTAAAACAGAGGGAAAAAGCCCCACGGTAAACAAGCTCAAAATAAAAAATTACAAAATGTGTGAAGAAACCATCTCCTATAAGCAAGAGCCGAGAGAAAAATAAACAGAAGGATTAGCAGCCCCAAGTACAGGAGTTGGTAGAGCAAAAAATGCCATTCAAAAAGAGATTTAAAAAAAAATAATTAAAATTACTAAAGAAATAAAAGGAAGGCTAGAAACCATAAAGAACAAAATATAAGTAAAAATAATCAGGCAGATCTGAAAAATATCACTAGGACTTTTAAACATGAAAAATGCGGTCTTTAAAAATTCAATGAATGGGTTAAATAACAATTTCTAATATAAAGAGATAATTAGGAGCTTTCTGGCAAACCTCATCAAATTAGATGGTGTGAGCAGAAAAGGAGTGAGAGATGACTGCTTGTCATGGGAAGTTCTGTACTATTTGAACTGTTGTTGAAGGCATTTATGACTCTGAAAAACATTATTTAAGAAATTAAAAATGTTTATTATATAGGAAATTAAGAATGCTTGTGTGTACTTTATAAAACTTAGCTGAAAACAATATTCTATGTAATTTAATGCTCTGTGGGTAAGGAAGGGCTCATGTGAGAAAGTATTTCTTGATTCATTCATAGGAAAATGAGAATCCAGAACTTCTCTCCTTATGACTTCATTGCAAGAATATGAGAATAACTTAGATCTCAACAGCTCACTCATCGTATACATAATTTTATTCCTCATTTTAAGTAATTACTGTGTTGACTTTTTACATTTTACGTGTTTGTTTTTAAAGTCCTCTGAAATTCTTTTTGAAAGACAGTGGGGGCAGATCTATAAAATACTTACATATTAGATGTCAAAGTAAGGATTTGTTACCCCCAAAAAGGGATTAATCTTCTTAGGTATTTATATTGGCTTAACTCTTTCTCTAAAGTGTATATGTTCTTTAAAAGGTTTTATTGAGAGATTCATAAATAGGTGTTAGAACTGACTTAACTTCTATAAAACCTATTAATGTGGAGTTGCCGTGGTTGAGATGAGGTAGACAGAGGGAGGAAGTACCAGGCCCACTAAGCCCAGTGGGCTCTCTAGGGCTCCTTGAGCACAGTTTAAAAATACTGCTACACATGATTCTCAGTTATATGATTAATAACTTGATTATTCAATTAAGTCTGGCTGTTCTGACCACAAGACATGAATAAAAACACTATCACAGAAAATTCCTGGGAGGAAACATCCATTTCTTTTGATTGTTATCTTTATAAACCTAGACATATAAGGAGAATTCAGTGATGATAAGAAAATTGAGAGAAAAGTTTAGGTAAAACTCAAGATACTGTTATTTCAGTCATAATTAACAGCATTTTTGCTGCTTCTCCTTAAAGCCAAATAAAACAAAGCAATACAAGCATAACCACTGAAAATTAATCCAGTAATGATTTTTAAATTACCCTAAATCTTAAAAGCAATTAGATAAAAATCAAGTTATCAAATTTTATTTTCTTACATTGTGGATACTAGGCAAATGTTAACGTCTTGTGTACTGTTGAACTCTTTCACAATCTTGAGTCTTTCCTCTGATTTCGTACTTCCATCAAGTCGTCGGTAATCAAGTCCAGCCGCCATACAGTATTGCTGCAGAACATCAAGCAACTACAGAAAAGATATGAAGAAAGGCAAAGACAAATTCATGGTGTAATAAGTTTCGTACAATTATAGAGATAAGATTTACTAAGTATTAATAATTGCTGCTTACAAATTCTTTCTTACAATTATAAGAGCAACAAATATTTTCCTGGCTTCTGGCTCATGTATTTCTTCCTATTATCCTGAAACTGACTCTAAAGTTCACCAATGCTTGTCTTAAAAAATAAAAGAAAGAAAAAAATCAACCTTTTAGGAACAAAAAGAAATCAAACTTTATTTTTTTAAACTAAAACTAAATAAAAAGAAAAATATTGGCCAATTTATGTAAATGACTTTCATTATTTGTGCTATTTTCCAGGTTCTAAAATCTCTTAAATGTCTTGTATATTTTAATTATAGCAAAAACATCAACAGAGAATTAAAAATCTATCTTTGAATCTGCTATTTGATAATAACCTTGATATCTTTGAGATTTAAGCGTCTTCTGTTTTAAAAGTTGCTTATCTCACTATCATTTCCTATAGTATGTATACGAGAGAAAATGTGGCTGGACACATATGTCTCTTGGGCTTTGTGCCTCAGAGTTAGTGCTGGGCCAATCACGAATATACTTCAGAAGAAACTCACCTTGGTGGAAAAGGAGAAAAGAAGTATTTTATCTTTGTTTTTCCTGCAATGATTTAAAAGCTGCTGAAGGACCTGCAAATGAACCACAGAAATCAACCACCAGTGAAACAGTTCCAACTAAAAGCACACTTTATACATATAAACATCACTTGAGAATTTCTTAAAAATTATTTTTATACAATATAACCTCACTCCTCTTTCCTAATTTCCTTCATTTTTGCCAACTTAGAGAAATAAAGTATTAGATATTACATGAGATGTTATTCATCATCATATTGTCAATAATGAGGTAAGGTTCCCAAAGACTTTTGTTTCATCTCATCTGGTTTTAATAAAAAGGAAGCATTTTAGATTATGGGATGCATTTAAATGAATTAATTTAATTTCTAAAGCACACTTTCTTTATACCTACAATATGTTCAGAAACTAAATTACAGAACAGCATTCCTTTTAGGAAATATTTAAGTTTTTTCTAGATAGATGTAATAAAATGTGTTTAATTACATTTAAGTTCTAAAAGTCTTGATATTTATTTTCTTAAAATAATCAGTCACATATACACCTCTTCTCATTTTATCCCTTCTGCTTCTCTATTTACAGTAAGCCCTGAATTCCAGATTTGATTTTGACCTCAAAATGTCAATAATTTGCCCCCATACACAGTGCTTTTAGGGATGGAGCAAATAATCCAAAGCCTATTTATAATAGTAATACTGTTATTTTTAAAACAGGCATTTCCACGTCTGGCAATGACAGTTCCAGAACACTGTGGAAAAGTAATCCACAAAGGAAAGAAAAGGAATTTTCTGAACTGAACTTAAAATTTTTCTGAATTATGCAACAAACACTTCAGTAATTTTGTTTATTCACTGATAAGCATTTAAACTTAAAATAAAAAATTATAAGCAATATAAGAAACATAAGAAACATAAAAATTATAAGCAATATAAGAAACACTCAATAGTCGACTAAGAGAAGACACTGTGCTAACTCTGACCCCCGCCGTCCAATCCCTCGGAAAAAGCCATAGAGTTAAAAAGAAAGGTACTCAGATAACTAATCAAATGGTGAATAAAAATGTCACAGATCAGGTAAACATAATTTAAATACTCACAGAACTTACAAAGTAAGCTTTGCATTTATTTACAAAATAAGCTTTGCATTTACTTTATTTTTTAATAAAACAACTGATTCTATATAAAGTATGTGCATTAGAGTTTCACATAATACATTAGCTTTTTAAAATTAAAAAACTTTACTTTTTAGAGCAACTTTGGATTTACAGAAGAATGGAGTAGAGAACTCCCACAGACTCCATTCCCCCATCTTGCACTTCTGCCCCTCCCCTGAACCCAGCTTTTCCTATTATTAACATTTTGCATTAGGGTGGTACATTTGTTAACAACTGATGAATGAATAAATTATTATTAATATATAATCATTAATTATTATTATTAAATCATTAACTATTATTATTAACTAAAGTCTATTTACCTACATTAGGGTTCATTCATTGTGTTGTACATTTCATGATTTTTTACAAATATACAATGACATGTATTCATCATTACAGTATTACACAGAACAGTTTCACTGCCCTAAAAATTCCCTGTACTCTCTCTATGCATCCCTCCTTTCAAACCCCCGGCAACCACTTATCATTTTACTTTTTCTACAGTTTTGCATTTTCCAGAATGTCATATAGTTGGAATCATACAGTATGTAGTAGCCTTTTAGACTGGCTTCTTTCATTTAGCAATATGCAATTAAAGTGCCTCGTGTCTTTTTGTAGCTTGATAGTTCATTTCTTTCTATTACTGAATAGTATTCTATTGTCTGAATATACCGCAATTTATCTATTTACCTACTGAAGTACATCTTGTTTGCTTCCAAGTTTTGGCAGTTATAAATAAAACTGCTATAAATATCTGGGTATAGGCTCTTGCGTGAGATTTTTAACTCATTTGGGTAAATACCAAGGAGTGTTGTAAATAACAATGTTCACAGCTAAGAAATCTTGGGCCTAACTCTTCTCAAATTAGTCAGGCCTAGAGATGAACATGACCCCTATATGATCTCAACAGCACTAAATTGGGTTTCCTGAGTCTTTTTCCCCACTCCCTCACAGTAAGTGGCCCTGTGGTATTTCCCAAGGGAAGGGAAAATGAGGATTCTTATCAGGGGAGTAAGTTCAACTTGTGACCATCCATTGGAATAGTAGTTGAGATTAAAAAAAGAAAAAGAAAAAAGACCTTCACATATAAGAGAAAGAGGTTGAGTTCATGAGTGTAGCTTTGAGGGCATGAAGGGTACAATAAGCATTACATCAACAAATGTAATAAATCTTATTATTCATCAGCTGCAGGCTGATGAATAATAAGAAAAGCAGAACTAGTATCACCTGAATTCAAGACATACATGCAACTTGGATTTTTTAACCCTCCCCACAGGCAATAGGTTATATGCTTTAACATTTTGTATCACTAAATCATCAGATGATGTTGACAATCAGATGATGATACACAATCTTAAGAATATAACCCTAGATTATTACTATCAGTCTCCATCTTGTTGGTGTTCTCTCACAAACAAATAAATTACAGGCTTCTTTCACATATACAGACACCCACCCAGCCTCTAGCAACAATTCATGCTTGCTTTTTCCTTTCTAAAAAGCATAACAAAAATTAAATGTAATAATTATTTTAATCAGACAACTCCAATAGTACATTTTAAATCATATGTTGAGTATAAGAATATAAAATTAGAGTTATAAAATTCATTTAATATCAAGAGTAACTTTTTAGTGAAGAGTCATAAAAAATGCAATTTAAATATATAACAACAGATAATACAGTTTTCATAGGAGGCCATGATTTCTGGCCTGGGAAACAAGGGGATAATAAGTGCTCAGATCCAAATTAATTGAGCTTTTTACATTGTTTTATTTAAAAATAAAGTCAGCAAAATGGATGATAAAAATAGATTAACTATTCTTAGGAAAGATTGTTAGGAAATTTACTATTGTTAGGTTTGAATTATTTATTATGATAATAAATCATAGAATATTCTCACTAACACAGACTTATTTTAAAAATATACAACTCTTTAACTAAGTGGGTATAGAGAAAATACACCTCAACATAATAAAGGCCATATATGACAAGCCTACAGCTAACATAACACCCACTGACAAAAACTGAAAGCTTTCCCTCCAAGCTCAGGAACAAATCAAGGATGCCTCCTCTTACTGCTATTATTCAACATAGTACTAGAAGTCCCAGCCAGAGCAATTAGGCAAGAAAAAGAAATAAAAGCATTCAAATGGGAAAGGAAGAAGAAAAACTCTTCCTATTTATAAATAGCATGATCTTATATACAGAAAACCCTCAAGACTCCACCAAAAAAACTGTTAGAACTAATAAATTCAATGAAGTTGTACAATACAAAATCAGTCTACAAAAATTCATTGCATACTAATAAGGAAATATCAGAAGAAGAAATTAAGAAAACAATCCCATTTACAACTGTATCAAAAAGAATAAAGTAACTAAGAATACATTTAACCAAGGAGGTGAAAGACCTGTACACTGAAAATTATAAGACATTAAAGAAGACACAATTAAATAAAAAGGTATTCAGTGTTCATAGGTTGGGAACTAATGTTGTAAAATGTCCACACTGTTCAAAGCTTCTATAGATTCAGTATAATCACCATCAAAATTCCAACAGCATTTTCCACAGAAATATGACAAACAATACTAAAATTTGCATGGAACCACAAAAAAACCCAAATAGTCAAAGCAATCTTGAGAAACAGCAAAAAACTGGAGGCATCACACTTCCCAATTTCAAACTATACCACAAAGTTATTGTAATCAAAACAGTATGCTATTATAGAACAGATACAGATCAATGAAACAAAATAGAAAGCCCAGAAATAAACTCACATATATATAGTCAACTAATTAATGACAAAGGAACTAAGAATATACAATGGGGGAAAAGACAGTCTCTTCAATAAATGGTACTGGGAAGCCTTATGCAAAAGAATGAAACAGGTCTCAGTAAGACATCTGCACCCCCATATTTACTGCACATTGTTTATAACAGCCAAGACGTGGAAAAAATTGTTAAATGCCTGTTGACAGATAAACGGATGAAGAAAATGTGATATATACATATATAATGGAATATTGAGACATAAAAAGGAAGGAAATCCTGGCATTTGCAACAACATGAAGGGCATTTATGCTAAATGAAATAGAAGAAAGAAAAACAAATACCCTATGATCTCACTTATATGTGGAATCTTAAAAAAAAAAAAATGCTTGTATTTATAAGTACAGAGAATAGATTGGCGGTTGCCAGAAGCAGGGGTGAAGGCGGGCAAATGGGTGAAGGTGGTCAAAAGGTACAAATTTCCAGTTGTAAGTCCTGGGGATGTAATGTACAGCAACTGTATTACATATTTGAATGTACAACGCTGTATTACATATTTGGATGTTACTGAGAGTAGATCTTAAAAGCTCTCATCACAATAAAAAAGACTATGTGTGGAGATGGATATTAACTAAATGTATTGTGATAATCATTTTGCCATATACTCATATCAAATCATTATGCTATACACCTAAAACTAACATAGTTATATGTCAATTTTATCTCAATAAAAAAATACATACGCAAGTTTTTAAGGTAATCTTGGTTTTTATTTTATTTCATTGAATTTAGAGGTCCAAGCAAACTAAACTATGAGTTTATATAGATTAACTGCTAAAAATATTTCCAAGATTCTAAGAAAATGACCACCTGACTACTTAAAATCGCTTATTTATTTAGCCAAAAGAAATAACTTACTTTCTTCTTAATTAAACTATAATGCTGGGAATTGTTTGGTAATAATCTCTGAATCCATAAATAAAGATTCTTTATAGTTACTAAAGAGTTAAACAAAGTGACTGCAAAAAGGCTGGAAGCTATCAGCAATTCATGCAGCTGTCACAGGCAATGTCCCAAGGCCTGGGTCATGACTGGAGAACCTAGCCTTATTTTTCCCACCCTCCCTCAGTAGAACAGCATCTACAGGTCAGTTTCCTAGTGTACAATAAATGCTCCCTTGCTACAACTGACACTTAGCAACTTTCCAATACAGATTGGCAGAAAATTCAGTCTAGACATAGAGGTCTTGTCTACCTTGAACTCTTAAGAAGTTTCTTTCTCTAATTCTGAGCTATTGCCTATCCTCATCCTTGTATTTGGAATGAGAATTTATATTTCTGATAGATAATCTCCTTAAACATTTGAAGCTAAGCTATTATATATGTGGCAAACAACATACATTTTTAGGAGGGCGTACATCTCATAAATCAATAAGGAAAGTCTGAAGTATATTTGATGTAAGTACTAATTGAGAACCTACTGCATGCATGGTTCATTGTAAGCTAGTAAATGCTGATACGGCTACATCAGTTGTCTTTGGCCACAGTCTCTTCTGATTGATTGGGTATCTGTTCTGATTAGTTAGTGTCTCCATCATACCACTGATAAATATTTTGTGTATCACGCTTATGTGTGTGCAGCCTGAAAGAAGAGTACTTACCTTCATTTTCCCACTGTATTTTGGATCAGATAGGGTTTCAAAAGCTGCATCTTTGCTTTTCTGCACAAAATCTGGGAACTTGGAAAATACCTGATCACATATTCTTTTGATAAGTGTTTCCTTAGGAGGAAAAGATAGAAGAAAAGAAATTTCAACCGAACACATTTATATATATATATAAATTGAGATTGTTTATGAAAACATTCGATTTAGAAGGAATATATTACTTTGAAGATATTATCTTCTCTAAGTCAGACTAATAATTTAGAAAAACTTAAAGTGATAATGTTAATTATATATGGCTTTGATGAGTTCTGAAATGATAGGACTAATAATTTTATCATTATTCTTTTATAATCTCTAAGTCAAGGACTCAAATACTTCCCAAAGAGCAAACAGTACTATCAAAGAACAATATTAAATGTTTATTAGATTTTAAAATTATATTTGAACAGCATGAAAACTGTAACACAAAAAGAAAATATAAAATTATATTTAAAAAGACTTAAAAAACAATAAAAAATAAGCCTTAAAGATTTCTTTTTATTTACGTGTGCTCTAGAATAAGATACAATTGAAATGATCAAAGTATATGATTGTATTTATTTCTAAACTTTGAAATTGCTAATTTTCGCCAACTTGGGATATATTCTTAATATTTAATATACAGATTACTGTAAACGCATTTTAATCCAGTAGGTTGGATAAATGAAGTTAGATACACTATTAATGGAATGTGACTGACTCATCAAATAGCTTACTTAGTAATTGTATCAAAACATGTTAGGAAAACAAATACAGCAACACTAACAGAGGAATAAAAAACGGTTATTATTTTGACTTAGGCTTCAGTTTTCTCTTTAAAAAACTTAAGAGCATATACTTCTTTGACACCTAAATTAAAACATGAGCAAGTTAGTTTCCTCTTCAACTGCATACAAAAATAACTTAAAGATACTTGGCTACGGCATTTTATAGCAAATACAAAATCCTTATACCAAATAGCATCATAAAGAAATGTACAAAGCCCACTCAAACCTGGTGTTTGGAGGTGCCAGTAGACTGCAGTAGTGCAACATGGTTGGCTACCTTCTGAAGGACGGCAAGGTAACTGAAATACAAGGTTTTCACTGTTTCACCATGTGAATTGGTCTGTAACCAGAAAAAAGAGAAAATAAAAACAGGCAAGAGACTAACATGGCTATGTAACAAGTGACTTCATAAACTCTATCGCTCACACTAATGTTTATCATCTGGTCACTACTGGCACAACACCTTCTGAGAAAATGATGGTCTGCCATTATGTAAAAAAATTAATGAATCACTTCATGTAGACTCATACTTTTGGTGATATTTTTAATAAAAGAGGGGAGAAAGTCCTCATTCCAGAAAGCATCTACCCTCATGATACACAGTGATAGAGAATGCTGCCATAAGAGGTTCCTGGTAATAAAAAATGGCACAGGGGCAGGGTCATACTTCACTGTCCCTTCTCTATCCTCTTCTTTATATTCCAAGGTGTCCGAAGAAACTGTGCTATTATGAAAAAGTGACGTGGTTAAAAAACAGCAAAGCAAATGAGAGATGAAATAAATATCAATCTAGATAAATATTTATTCAGGGTCCCTCGATGTACATGGATATTTGATAGATATCTTGATACTAAAACAGAGAGGTGGAAAAAAGGGCAGGAAATACAGATAGAAAGTTAAAAAAATATAAACTAATATTTGTTGCTAAATAAAAATAAAACTTTATTATACTAATACACAATTTTGATTAATTAACAATCTATCAGAACAGTATTTTAAGCCTGATGTCAAAGATTAAGTTTATTATTGAGAAACTTCTGGGAATAAGATGAAATCTCAAAATGAAGTAGGCTACTTCTCAATAAAAGCTGAAAGGGAGGATATCAAATTGAAGGTACTAGTTTCTGAGAGCTACTGAAAAACCAGTTTATTGGGAAGATATTTGAATATTATATTTTGCTATGACTACTATTTGATATTGCAAAATACTTTTGAAAACTATTCCTTTTTATTAACTTGTGGCTTCTAAAGATAAAGAACTGAGGGAAAGTTATTTTATCTGCTCCTTACCTCTGACACTGGAATAGAGAACAATGTAATCAAAAGCAAGATGTGAAGATAACCACCCAGAAATGCTTGCCTTATAACAACAATTTCTCCTTTTCCGGCCACTGCTGCAGCTACAAGGCTCAGAAGACTGAAGTATCAAAGTCATATCTTTTGTTTCTAATACTGTTTGATAGACAGCTTTCTGAAAATCTGTCAGAGAACAGTATACCATCTGCCAAGATGAAACACAAAGAATTATTGGTACTTTTTTAAATAGCAGTTAATAATCACAATGTACACCAGATTTTAAAGACTGTAAGAGTGAAAACTGCTTATAAACTATTATTCTTTTAGATATATTATTATGACACCCTACCCTAAACTATATAAATAACTCTATTTTCAAATAAATCTCATAGAGTTTGCTTTTCAATTGAAAGAATCAAAATATGAAAAAACAAGTGTTTTCCTTACAAATTTCTAAATATATTCTGGGTCTTTTCAGGGCTTCATACTATTAGCCCATAATGCAAGTAAATTACTACGGTTAAGGTCAAATAAAAAAACTAGATAGGGAGGGGTGCCTGGGGGCTCAATTGGTTAAGCATGTCTGCCTTCAGCTCAGGTCATGATCATAGGGTCCTGGGATAGAGCCCCCAGGCTCCCTGCTTAGCGGGAAGTCTGCTTTCCCTCCCCCTTTACCTCTCTCCTCTACTTGTGCTCTCTCTCTCTCCCTCAAATAAATAAATAAATAAAATATCTCTTAAAAAAAAAAAAAACCTGGATAAGAAGAAAAGGGAAAACTTTAGAACAGTATAAATAGTACTTACTCAATTCCTTAAAAACTTAGAAAAAAATTTAAAACTTAATTATTACCATTTGTACTATAATTTGTATTTGATATCCTACTATAAATTCCTAAGATTAATAAAGGTAAGAATTAGGAAAATACACATAAAAGCAACTATGAGTTTCTATTTTGTACCGAAATTCAAAAAAAAAGAAAATTTGATAAAATCATGCCACTAAGTTATACAGGATATAATTTACCTTACATTTCTAGTAGCACCAGAAATTGGTAAAAGTCTTCTAGATGTAGCTGTATGTAACCAGGTCATAAAACCCATAATAAGATTTTGAAAAATGTGAATAAAAAGGAAAAGCCTTCTTTTTATAAATATTTTTATGTTTATATCACTAAAACAGGCTATTGTAAAAAAAAATGACAAATTCTTTTGATTGTTTCTTTTGGTGTACAGGAGCTTTTTTTTTTTTAAGATTTTATTTATTTATTTATTTGACAAAGAGAGACAGCGAGAGAGAGAGAGAGAGAGAGAGAGAGAGCGCACATGCGCACAAGCAGGGGAACAGCAGAGGGAGAGGGAGAGGCAGGCTCTCCACTAAGCAGTGAGCCTGATGCAGGACTCAATCCCAAGACCATGGGATCATGACCAGAGCTGAAGGCAGACGCTTAACGACTGAGCACCCTCAGGTAACAGAAGCTTTGAAGTTTGATGTAGTCTCACTTTAAAAAAAAAGATTAATTATTTTAGAGAAAGAGAGAGCAGGGCTGGGGGATAGTGAGGGGCAAAGGGAGAGAGATAAAGAGTGTTAAACAGACTCCACACTGAGCACTGAGGCTGACACAGTTCAGCTCAGCTCGGTATCATGACCCTGAGATCATGACCTGAGCTGAAACCAAGAGTCGGACACTTAACCAACGGCACCATCCGAGCGCTCCATAGTCTCACTTCTTAATTTTGGTTTTGTTGCTTATACTTTTTATGTCATATTCAAAAACTCATGACCAAGACCAGTGTCAAGGAGCTCCTTCCTTGTTTTCTTCTAGGAGTTTTATACGATTATGACTTGTGTTTTAATCTTTAATGCATTTCCAGTTAATTTTGTAAGTGGTATAAGACTGGTGTCCAACTGCATTCTTTTGCATATGAATATCCAATTTTCCCACCACTTATTGAAAAGAGTATCCTCCTGTCTCACTCACTGAGTATTCTTGGCTCCCTTGTCAAATATTAGTTGACTGTATATGTGTGGGTTTGTTTCTGGGTTCTCTATTCTACTCTGCTGATTTATGTGTCTGTATTTATGCCAGTACCATACTGTTTTGATTATTATAGCTTTGTAACATAGTGTGAAATCAGGAAATGTGATGCCTGCCAACTTTGCTGTCCTTTCTCAGGATTGCTCTGTCTCTTTTGGGATCTACTGTGCTTCCATACACATTTTAGGAAAGTTTTTTCTATTCCTGTAAAAATATGCCACAGGAATTTTGACAGGGATTGCACCGAATCTATACATGGCTTTGGGTAGATGGATATTTTAGCAATATTAATTCTTCCAATCCATGAACATGGGTATCCTTTCATTTTTTGGTGTCTTTTTCAATTTCTTTCATCTTCACAGTTTTCAGTGTTTAGGTCTTTCACCTCCTTGGTTAAATTTATTCCTAAGTACCTTAAAACATGTAGTAACATTTACTAAACAATTCTCACATGCCACACACTTCAGAGCAACCACGTAAGGCAGACACTGCTATCATCATTTTAAAAAAATATTTTATTTATTTATTTAACAGAGAGAGAGATCACAAGTAGGCAGAGAGGCAGGCAGAGAGAGAGAGGGGAAGGAAGCAGGCTCCCTGCTGAGCAGAGAGCCCGATACAGGGCTCGATGCCAGGACCCTGAGATCATGACCAGCCAAAGGCAGAGGCTTTAACCCACTGAGCCACCCAGGCACCCGTCATTATTCTTATTTAACAGGTAAAGAAACCAAGGTTTGGGAGACTTAGCAAATTGCTCAAGGTCACAAAACTCCTAAGTAGGGGAGCCAGGATTCAAGTCTACATTATTTCATTTCAGAGCCCAAGTTCTAAACACTTTGAATACAATTCTCTCTTCATATATTTATAGTTATTGCTCCTACTGGACAGATAACTAAATAATATATGTAAAGTTATACAAAATATTTTTTAAAATGGGTGTTCATTAAGGACTCTAATTAAATAGTAACATTTTCTTTAGATCAAAGAGTCAACTTCCCCAACTTGTATATCAGTATATTTTCCTTTCAAATCTACTTTTTAAAGTAATAATAAATGGGATACCCTTGGATTAGAGAGTCTCTAATAGTATTGCCCATATTTGGGACATTAATTAAGCTTTGTTCATAGTAATTTATAGAACCTTTATTCCATTACCTGAGTTAGAAGAACCACAAGATTAAAAACTATAAAAGAGGACCACTATATTTTTAAACAATTGACAGAATTTAATTGTAACTTTCCTAAAATTCTTCAAATTAAGTTAATTGTATAACTATAGATAACATTCTAAAAGAAACAAACCCATAAAAGTTTTTAATCACTGCAGTCCTATAGCTATTATTAAGGTCTCAAAAAATTCACTGGTCAAAATATATGAAGGGCAAAATATGAACAGAAAATAAATTAGGGAGAGAGTTCTTCTTTCTTCAGTGAGAAAGAATTATACCAAAAGCATTCTTATAAAATAAGAGAAATGAATTTAATGTATACTAACAAAAAACCTGTTAGCTAACCTGTTAGATGGGGCTGAATTTGCATATAATAATTTTTTTCCACACTGAGTAAAAGGCAAAAAACTATATTCGTAAAATACCACAGGAGATAGATTTCCTCTTAAATTTTTTTTCAGAAAAAAATAAAACATGAGAAATTAATAATTAAATGATGATAAGTTAATAATTTAAACAAATGCAATTCTCACCCGGTCTTCCTTCTTAGGCAACTGATCCTTGATTAGAGCCTTGGTACGCCTGAGAAACCACCCAGACATCTTTTGCGCAAGCCTTTGCATGGCCTTTCGGCCAGTGGCTAGTTCTCTTTTTGTTGCTGTGTGTCTCTGACCATGTTCTACTGGGTCAGAAAACTGCTTCTTGAAGTGGATCCTACTACCTAAAAGTCCTGGCACAGCCCTTTATAAAGACAATTAAAAAAATATGACAGCTTTATTAAATTATCTAAAAAGACACACAATGACTTCTTTTTGCTTCTAAGAAATATACTAAGTCACTTGTTCATGAGTGATAACAATAACAAAATGTAAGGAAAGAGAATGTTTTTTCTTTATGACATTTCAGAAAATAACTTTAAGATGACAGAATTGGTAAATAAGTTCAGCTATTTACCTCAGGGACAAAGAATAATATATAAAGATAGGCATTCATAGGACACTCTACTCTGTATACTGTGTTTGGGATAAACACATCCATAAACAAACACAATTTTTTTAGAAACTATTAATTAGCAAACAAGGTAATATTAAGTTAAAGAAATATGAAAAATTTTCCAAAATGGACAAATTACTTTTCACTCACCAGTCCATAACACACCACAGTTCTTTCATGTTGTTCTGAAGAATGGTTCCAGTGAGACCAATGCGGACATTACATTTCAAAGCTTTCATAACTTCTGTTATTCGAGCCTTTGGATTCTTGATTCTGTGAGCTTCATCTACAATAACAGCCGACCATTCCAAACTGCAAGGTGAGAAAAAAGTGGGGAAATGTTGAGAAAATTTCTCTTTCTTACTCTGTATCATTTTTAGAGAGCAGCTTCTCTACCAAAGCTGTAGAGTTTTTTCCCTATTCACTCTGTGATGACTCCATAGGATTCTCCATTAGGGCAACGGTTGTGGGTTTGGACAGCCCATAAAAATAAAATGTGTAGGGAGACAAAAGGGCATAGATTCTGTTTAATGATGGTGGAACGAAAAAGTCATTTAAACATCACTAAAATGAATGTTTAGAATCAATTGTTACCCCAGTAGCAATGAGCTTCCATAGTAGTGAGTCCACTAAAACAAAACAAAACAAAGCCCCATGGAGAAATGATTGATTTCAGACATGCAGCAGAGGAAATAGTGAAGAGCCAGAAAACACAGATGTATCCATAGACAAATGAGGGAATGTCCAAAGGACACAAAAGCCAAACTAATTGGAAAATTTGAGCATCATTAAGAATAACTATTGTAACTCAATATAAAACACTGAATAAATAAAACCCCCAAAATTCTAGGAAAAAAAATTAATTTAGATCCTAACCTCACACTATAAACAAAAATAAACTCAAAACAGAACACAAAGTCAAAACTTTGTACAAGTCAAAGTACAAAAGTTTGTACAAAGTCAAAAAACAAAGTCAAAACAAAAGTCAAAACTTTAAAACTTATAAAACAGAGGGAAAAAATCTTGTGGATTCTGGGTTAGGCATAAGTTTCTTATATATTACACCAACAAAAAATTTTTGATAAGTTGGACTTTATTAAAGTTAAAAACCTCTGTTCTTCTCAAGAAACCACAGGAAAATGAAAGACATGCTACAGACTGGGAGAAAATATTCGCAAATCATAATCTGGTAAAGAGTTTATACACATAATATATAAAATTATTACAACTCAACACAAGTTAAAACAATCCAATTTTAAAAATGAGCAAGATATTTTAATAGCTAACCAAAGAAGAAATACAAAGGACATATAAGTACATAAAAGATTCTCAACTTCTTTGGTCATTAGAAAAATGCAAATTAAAATCATAAGATACTGCTAAAAACCCATTTGAATGGCTATAATCAAAAAAAGATTGACAATATCAAGTGTTGACAAGGATATGGAGAAATGAAACCTCATACACTGTTTTTGGTAAAGTGTAGTTACTTTTTTCTTTTCTTTTTTTTTTTTTTTTTTTGGTGCAGCTACTTTTCTAAAACAATTTGACAGTTTCTTAAAAAATTAAATATCTCCTAACACCCAGCAATTCCATTCCTAAGTATGTGTAAAAAAAAAAAAAAGACAGAAAATTTATATCCACACAAAGACTTGTACATAAATGTTCACAGCAGCATTATTCATGACAGCCAAAAATTGGAAACAATCCAAATGTCCATGCACTGATGAACAGATAAACAAAATGAGGTATATACATATAATAGTACTCTTAAGCAATAAAAAGCAACAAACTATTGAAACATGCTACAACATGATGGACCTATGATGTTAAGTGAAGGAAACCAAACACAGAAGACTACATAGTGAGTGATTCCATTTATATCAGATTTCCAGAAAAGGCAAATCTATTACAGAGACAGGAAACAGATTGCATTGCTTGAAACTGGAAATGGGAACACAGATTGACTCGAACCAAAAAACGTTTTGGGGTGATAGAGATGTTCTAAAACTGGACAGTGGTGATAATCGCAACCATATAAATTTACTAAAAATTATTCTATACTTAGACTGGGTATATTCTATGGTATGTCAAATCTACTTCATTAATCCATTAATCCACAGTGACACTCAAAAAAGGGGGAGATGGAAGGAAAACTTTGGTATTATTACAGATGACCATTACAGCAATATCTTAGTCTGAAAGTTGGCCAAAGAATCAAGCATTTGCCTTGCTTTTTTGTTGATATTATAGTTAATTCCTTATTAAAGGAGACTGCCAGTTAATAAGTGTAGAAGAAATTATAAATTTAGGAAAACATTATTTTGCAAAACCCAATAAAATAACTGATTGAAGCAAGAATAATTTTTGTATGCTAATACCACTAAACAAAAGGACTGAAGGATCAGAATATTCAAATACTGGCAAAGTATCACCACACAAATTACTTCTAATTGTAAAAGGAAAAACATAACTTTATAATCTCTGATGACCATTTCTTTAGCCTGTAGGACAAACTTGGCACCATTAATAGTGAAACAAGCTGACATTAATATCTCCTGAAGTAATGTAACATGAAGCCCACAGCCTCACTTATGAAGTATTCTTATCAAAAATGTTTAACCTTGGGGCGCCTGGGTGGCTCAGTGGGTTGAAGCCTCTGCCTTCGGCTCAGGTCATGATCTCAGGGTCCTGGGATTGAGCCCCGCATTGGGCTCTCTGCTCAGCAGGGAGCCTGCTACCCCCTCTCTCTCTGCCTGCTGCTCTGCCTACTTGTGATCTCTGTCTGTCAAATAAATAAATAAAATCTTTAAAAAAAATGTTTAATCTGAATCTAATTAAGACTTGACCAAAATCAGCTTATAGAAACACAGATGCTAAAGGAATACACTATTCCTTGAGAAAGTAAATAGATGAAGCTAATATTTGGGATACCCTAAAAGACAACTGGCCTAATCCCCTCAAAATATTGTATAATAAAAAAGTGAAGTTGGGGGAATGTCCCAGATTAGAAGGGACTAAATAGACTTAATCAACAAATCCATCATTTGAACATTTATTAAACCCTGCTTTGGAAATACTGGATTTTATTTTACTTTAAGATTTTATTTATTTATCTGACAGACAGAGATCGCACGTAGGCAGAGAGGCAGGCAGAGAGAGGAGGAAGCAGGCTCCCCACGGAGCAGAGAGCCCAATGTGGGGCTTGATCCCAGGATCCTGGGATCATGACCTGAGCTGAAGGCAGAGGCTTTAACCCACTAAACCACATAGGCACCTGGAAATACTAGATTTTAATAATATTTTGAAGATCAGTAAGGAATTTTAAATTGCTGTTAATTTTCTTAGGCGTGACAATGACAATGTGGTACAAGAAAAAATATAACTAGTTTTAGGAAATCTATGCTAAAATATTTAGAGATAATATTGTCATGTTATATACAACTTCCTGAAATGACTCAGTACCACCACTGTACATAGACTTAGAAACACATGTATTAACATATTTTGCCAACATTTGAATACACACACACACACACACACACACACAACTGGTGAATATAGGTGGTAAGTATATAGATGTTCGTATTCTGTTACTTCAATTTTTCTATAGGTTTGATAATTTCTTAATATAAAGTTTGAAAAAGAACAAAAGAACAAAGAAAAAGGAAAAAATGACCACAAAATTTTAGTGCCTGGGAAGAAGATGTACAAGATGACTTACAAAAGCAGAGAGAGCAGTAGCCTATGTCAGTAGTGGAGAGAGCCATAAAGCAATCTGATTCATATTATTGAGGTCTTAAAAAGCTAGGAATTGGTGGTACCAGATGCCTCTGGAAATTGGAGTTATGTAAATGTTCAAGTCTAAGAAGCAATTGGATCTCCTAGATAGTAGTCCCTACTCCATAAAACAGTAAGCAAAAGAGGGCAAAATCCTCATTTTCTTAAGAAGAAATCAGCAGGTGTGCTGAAAACTAAAATTAAAATTAAAATTAAATTAAATTAAAATTAAAAGTTATAGTATAAAAATGTTCTTTAGAGATATGGAGGTAAAAGGAGGAAGATAAGTAAAAGAATTGAAGTTAGTTGTGTCTGAAGAAGGGTTTATAGAGGTGGCAGAAAGAATAAATTGCAGTTTTTTCATATTTGGCTCTTTAAATAATATACATATATAACTGATAAAAATAAAAGTAAAGCAAAATATAATAATAATAATAAAAAGAGATACAGCTCACTCATATAGTGTGTTTACTCTGGATTACCTATGATCAATGTTTAATCCTATTCTATCACAAAGTGCTATTCTCACAAAAGTATTTAATACTTGAGCATAGCATAATATATAAACGTGTTGAATCACTATGTTGTACACCTGAAACTAATATAACATGTATGCCAACTATACTTCAAAAAAAAGAAACCAGTGAGAATGATATTTGCGGTGGGTTTTTCATAGATGGCTTTGATAATATTGAGGTATGTGCCCTCTATCCCTACACTTTGAAGAGTTTTGATCAGGAAGGGATGCTGTACTTTGTTAAATGCTTTTTCAGCATCTATTGAGAGTATCATACGGTTCTTGTTCTTTCTTTTATTAATGTGTTGTATCACATTGATTGATTTGCGGATGTTGAACCAACCTTGCAGCCCTGGAATAAATCCCACTTGGTCGTGGTGAATAATCCTTTTAATGTACTGTTGAATCCTATTGGCTAGTATTTTGGTGAGAATTTTTGCATCTGTGTTCATCAAGGATATTGGTCTGTAGTTCTCTTTTTTGATGGGATCCTTGTCTGGTTTTGGGATCAAGGTGATGCTGGCCTCATAAAATGAGTGTGGAAGTTTTCCTTCCATTTCTATTTTTTGAAACAGTTTCAGGAGAATAGGAATTAGTTCTTCTTTAAATGTTTGGTAGAATTCCCCCGGGAAGCCGTCTGGCCCTGGGCTTTTGTTTGTTTGGAAATTTTTGATGACTGTTTCAATCTCCTTACTGGTTATGGGTCTGTTCAGGCTTTCGATTTCTTCCTGGTTCAGTTGTGCTAGTTTTTATGTCTCTAGGAATGCATCCATTTCTTCCAGATTGTCAAATTTGTTGGTGTAGAGTTGCTCATAGTGTTCTTATAATTGTCTGTATTTCTTTGGTGTTAGTCGTGATCTCTCCTCTTTCATTCATGATTTTATTTATTTGGGTCCTTTCTCTTTTCTTTTTGATAAGTCTGGCCAGGGGTTTATCAATGTTATTAATTCTTTTAAAGAACCAGCTCCTAGTTTCATTGATTTGTTCTATTGTTTTTTTGGTTTCTATTTCATTG